TGTTTTCGTCACGGAGAAGCGAGGACACGAAGCTCTAACTCTAACTCCAAAGCTGAGACGTCCATAGCACCTCACACTCCGGTCATTCGGAATGATGGTCAAATGGGTGGATTTCAGGTCTAGCATAAATCTTCCAGTCGGACAGGGTCTGGATCAGGGACGCCGTTTCCACACGTCGTTCCGGCACGTGGTTTCGGTGTCGCGACAAAGAGCCGGTGGTTTGGTCGATCCAAACGGTTGGGGAATCACTTCTCCCGGATCCAAGTACTGTACCTTCTCAGATGATTGGAGACTAATGTATAGGCGCCAGGAGGGCCCAGTCGTACCTCAGAAGGCATGTGGATCCCTATAGGGTCTACCAAGATAGCAAGACTTGCGAAGTCATGTCCTAGGCCGACTGTTTGATCCGGCGTAGAATTCACTGGAGCAGCTGGGGCAGAGGAGTTCGCACGCTCCGAACTCAGGATGTTGAAGTTTAATGGTTGCACCATTCCTGAAGCTTGGCAACTGAAGCAGTTGTGTCTCTTACGTAATCAGACTTGGTCCAAGTGCCATGGGTTGGTGGATCCAAGAATAGGACACTGACATGGTTTCTTCAGGTGCTTCCATGGTTAGATCTCCCCACAACAATGGGAATACATGAAAGATACTGCGGAAGATCCCCAAACACTCCTGGTATGGCACATACACTTATTGACCCATCTACTTGACTCCTTTCTAAATACCACAACTGGAAGTCTGGTGGCGCAGTGGTATTTTCCTCCGCATCCAAGAGACTGAAGACTTCAAGATGCATTTTCTTGGCAGATTTGGTCACAAGGCACCAGGCTGCTGCTCCTGATGTTGCTGCGGCTGGTAGTTCGCTGCTATTACTGCTGATTTGTTGCATTGCTCGTTGGTCTTGTCTTTTGCTGTTGGTTTGCTGCTCTGCTGGTTTGCTGATGCTGATGCTGGTCGTTTGCATTAACAAAATACCGACTTTGTTTTTTTCATTCTGATTGGATGCATACACTTGTTGTTGAAACGTATTATGTTGCTGCTCCTTCTTCTCACCAGAAATCCAAGAGGTACGACGACCTTCCGTTCACCCCAGTCAGCTCAGGAAGCTGGATTGAACATGATCCGCCTTCACTCCTTCTACCCCTGGCACGACAAGCGCGCCTATACCCACTTCGAAAGTCCGGAGGACGAAGTGTGAACAGGGGTGATTTAGGGTGATGGTTTTAGATGTGTCCTGATGTTTCAACCTTTACCTGCCCTAGGGATCCAGTCGTACCTTCTCAGGTACGGTGATTGGAGACTATGTAGGCTTGGAGGGCCCAAGTAAGGTATGTGGATCCCTAGGCTTGGGATGAAAACCATCACCGATGTTTCAACCGGTCCACGGGTCAGAACAGATGTTTCGTTCTTCGTGTTTCGTTGAAAGCCATTTGGGAGTCTCGGATCATCTCCAACGGCTTGAGGATCAAACTGTGTCCCACAGCCATGCCACGAAATGGACAGCCATCGGTGGTCTTCGGATCGGCTACCCATTTGAGCACCTGGTTCTGTTCATTCTTGCACATGTGGAGGACTTGGTGCTTGGTACATCTTGGTACTCTCGAGACTCTTTGGGTTTGTACGTTCAAGACCTTCTCGACTCCAACTGATCGGTCGAGATACCAGTTCCACGGAGTGTTTGGGGTATCAATAGATTGTCGATAGTATTGTGAATAGTACACCGATACCTGATTCTTACTGGAAAAAGTTGGCCGAGCGCGGTTCTGTTCACGGTTCTGAGCACTTGCAGGATGCCGAGACCTTGAAGTGGGTGAAGGAATTCAACAAGTTCGACCTGTACTCCAAGGGCAGCTCGTGCAGTCTTCAGCGTTGGGTTTGATGTTTGTGCAAGAAGGGCAGGACAAACAGATACAAGTGCGCAACAAGTGGATACACTCGATGGACTCCATGGGACTGGATGGACTCCATGGGGCTTTCTGCAAAAAAAAACATCCACCAGCGAGATGTCTCCACAACAAAACGCACATGGTTTGGTATGGTTTTGTTGTATGAAAAGCGTTCATGGGACATCATGCACCAAACAAAAGCGTGAAAGAGAGTTATGTACAGAGCCTAGAAAGCCGGATACAAGTTTCAGTCGTGGTTTGACCCAAATCCACAGAGTTCTTTCAACAACCTCGCTTGCAGGAAAGCATCCAACAATGAACTGGACCTCCACCCAAATGCTGGGTGAAAAGAGCCTTTCTGAAATCGGGCAAACCCTACCAGGGGCGCCACAAACCATCACAACACCTGGAAATTCCCGAACACACAAAACATCATCAGAAAACCTATAAGAAAACATATGATGTTCTTTCTATATGTGAAACCCGCTCTTAGTTCATGGGACGCCGGATGGACTGCTTTTCGACACCGGTGCGACCAACGGAGTCGAATCGCCGTTCCGATCGGACGAGACGAGCCCCGCAGCGAACGTTTCGCGGTCCCGGTGCCGCAGTTGTTGCGTCGCTAATAGTATAGCTTCTTGTTACTAGCTAGCCAAAAAGCTACTAATAGCGATGCACTTGCTCCGTTCGGTGACATTTTGTCCTTTGTTACTATAGCGAACATTGCTACTTTGCTGGGGTTGAGCGTGATAGCTCCTGTTGCTAGGTGAGTTGACAGACACTGCGCACCAAGACAGAAACAAAGAAAGATGAGCAGCTCGTTGAGGGTCTTCTGTAGCTTATCAACAACTTCCCACAGCCCTTGGGGTTGGTTTCTTCCTGGCACTGCACTCCTTAAATAGAACCTCCTCCCATTTTCTGGACCCGGATTCATAGGGCTTTATATGGCATCTAGAAGGCTCCCTCATTCTCCTGAGTCAAGAACTCTTATTCCACCGACCCTCCCAAAACGCAATTTGTCATCACCCCCCTACCAAAATAGAGATGGATCTTCAATCCCAAACACTCAATGTAAGCTGATTTCCCCCATCAGGGTCGATTATAAGGTATTTATGTGTGACATTGTTATATCTCATAATTCTGCCGCGGGAAGACTGGGAACGTTTGCTTTCCGCTTCCATCGTGCGGAATCAGGCGATGCCCTGCCTGATGTGGAATCGCTGAAGCCGTACTACGCCAAGCTTTTGAAGAAGTCTTTCGGAGCGGTTCTGGAGTCTGGTTTGTGTTTTTCTTCAGATGTTCATATGCTTGTGATATATAACCGTGTTTGAAGCGTTTTTTTTTTGAGTCTGGAGCGTTTGTTTGTTTTTTCAACCAAAGATCACGTGATGTGGATAGAAAGCGACACCTCTTTGGGAGGCGTGTAGTTGTGTAAATGCTGTTGTATGGGGAGAAGTCTCAACCCTTCGAAGCGTGGCTTGAAACTGGACAGTTACGTTCTTTGAAATCAAGCCCTTGTGCCATTTTGTGTTTGAAATCAGGAAAATCAGTGACAAATCCAGGGGATCAAACGCGAAGAGGTAGCCACTTCAAGATGGGTTGGGGCTCAGCCAAGCAACATGGGCATGCTCAGCCAAGCCAAGCCTTGATGTTCATATGTTTCGTTTGTCCCAGGAAACCTGTGGAGTTGAAGTTTTACCAGCTGGTAAAATCACTTCAAGATGTTATTATTTTTGTTCAGTAGTTTTTTGTTAATATGGAATTTGAATGAACACAACTACGTGTAAATTTATGATTACATACATATTTCATTGTGTGCTAGTGTTTGACATAATAATATAATAATGTATGAATTAGGTTTATACGTTATGTCATTAAAACACACAAACACGATAATACACATTGACATCATTAAAACAAATCATAACATGTATACAATCAGTCTTGAAATCATAATGAGTCATATCATGTTCAATTAATTGAATGGCTCTTTCCTATTTTTGTTCATGAGGTTCATGATCAAATATGAAAACATTATGATCAATTTAGGATGTTTGTTGATGAAGCCATGATATGGCCAAATTGTTGGTTCTTGGTCATGTCCTTTTATGTTGTTTGGTACGACTTTATAAACTTGGTCATATCTATTTCATCAACACATTCTAGTGAAGTCATATGTATGTATGTATATACGTGTTTGGCTTTACCGGACTTGTCCGATCTCAATTGTAGAGCCGTCGGTCAACAAGAACATCACTATTTTAGAAATGGAAAGTCCTGCCACCAGGTCACCAGGCCCCATCATCAGCCATTGAAACCTGGTGATATACCAGGTATACACCATCATATACCATCATATACTCACCTTTGAATACAAGTCCAACCTAACCAGCATATACCATCATATATTTGGTGATACACCTCCTCCAACCCAACCATCATATGCATATACCCAAGAGTTCACACATTGCCACAACAAAAATACATAACACGTGCGAACGGGGATACTTTAGGTACATTGAAGACTTGAGGTATTTTGTGTAGTACCTGTTTGCTCCCTAAGGGGATCGAACATGTCCTTTCCAGGACCAGTTTGTTTCATATCAAATCCAGATCCAAATCTGTGTTTCTTTCTTTTGGGATGCAGGTCGGGTCTCCGATCCGGTCGTTTACTCATGGGTCTCAGTCGCTATGACTCCCGCCATATACTTGTTGCTATGACTCCCGCTACTTGACTTGGGGGTGTTCTTGCCCAACTCATACGACTCCCATCGACTCGTGACCTTCTTCTTTTTGGCAGCCGTGACTCCCGGAAGAATAACAAAACATGCAACAACATGTATATGAGGAAAAAAAACACAAACCACCAGGTCGTAGAGGAATATAGTCTTCCAAAGGTTCACTTTCAGCTTCCATGTGGGTCTCTTCCCCCGGTGGCACCTCGAGAACGAAAACGTCGACCGAAGACTCGAAGTCTCGTGGCACCTCGAGGTACAACCTCGATGGCAAGCTGAAGTGGTGAGCCACGAGAGCCGAGAGCCTCGTTCCCAGGTCGGTGACCACGATCCTCGGTTTGTGACCACGAAACGAACCAAATGACAGCAACAGACCATGTCGGACGGCGTTTTTCTTGGTCTATTTGGAACGTTTCAAGTGACTCTCTCCAGGAGGTTAGGACGTTCATGGGGGCGAGACCTGTGCAAGGTGTGGTTGTTCCGAACACAAACGAGATGCGGCTGGAACGTCGAAGGTTCTGTAATACCCATCAAAGGGAGGCGATGTTCTATTTCCATCTATTTCCACATAACCAAATCCGTGTTATTTTTCAGGGCATGTAGCATGTACCCATGGGGCATGATTGACGATCGTAGGCTTGCTTGAGAGGCTTCTAAGAAGGCCAAACCATCATCGCTATAGCTCACGGCACGTGCACTCCTCCGGTCGGTTGACCTGGTCCACCGGGACGTCCGGTCCATCCGGCCGTCCGGTACTCCAGCGTTACTCGTCTGTGGGACCGGGGGGTAGCCAGGACACAGTCGGACACCTTTGGCATCCAAGGCCCCGATAGAAAAGGCGGGGCCCCGCTCGTTGAGATCGCCAGCCGACTTCGCCAAGAACTGGCGCAGCTCCCAAGAGCCAATGCAGTTTGGCGGAGATCACGTCTTTTTGGGGGTGGCACATCAGTAGGTTCAGAGAGGATGGAATGAACTTAAAAAAGGAAAAACATGGAAGACCATATTTCGATTCTCTAAGGCTTCAGCTTCAACTACCTGATGGGGTGTTCGGGGTGGGCGTACGGAGGGTCTAACTGCCTTCTGAGAAATGTAAGTGAGACCACCTGAGTTTGGAGCCAATCATTTCTTCTTGTTTTTGGAGAAAAATGACGCACGGGTGTGTTGTGGGGGAAGTTCCTTTGGGGGGAAGTGTCCCAAGCCGCACATTGTCATTCCTGGTTGTTCAGGTTGTTGTTCTCAGCGGTCAACCTTGAATCTTCCTTGGTGATCGGTTTTCCCATTCAAACCGGAGAAGTGGGAAGTTTGGTTATAACTAACTTATACCCTTGATATTCCCGGGAAAGGGCTCAGAACGGTAGTGGTAGTAGTAGTAGTAGTAGTAGGAGTAGCAGTAGCAGTAGCAGTAGCAGGAGCAGGAGCAGGAGCAGGAGCAGCAGCAGCAGCAGTAGCAGCAGCAGCAGCAGGAGTAGTAGTAGCAGCAGTAGCAGTAGTAGTAGTTGTTGTTGTTGGTGGTGGTGGCGGTGGTTGTTGATCCAAGGTTGAGCCCTTTTGCGCCCATCTCGCTGTGACCTGTGAGG